GGGGCGCTAGTGAAGAGGGTCAGAGCAGACACAAAACCGCACCCTGGAGCACTGCCCATTCTCCCGGGGCCCGAGGGAGGGCTCACTTGAGGCTCCGGAAGCTTCCAGCCTCTACCCGCTCAGGGGTCCGCTCCTCAGGGAAGTCCCAAGAAGCAGCTTCCCTTCCTTCTTCTTCCTCGTCTCCGGCCTCTCCGCACAGCTGTCCAGCCAGGAGTGGTACAAGCCCCAGGGCCTGCAGCCGGCCCAGGGCCCCTGTATCGTAGAGGAAGCCCACGAGGGCGACTACCACACGCGGGTGCCAGGCTTGAGCCCGGGAGTCACGGAGCAGGCCCATCAGCAGCTCCAAGCCACCAGCGTCCCGCAGCCGGGCCCGGTTGATGGCCTCCCTGCAGAGCAGGCAGATGGCCCGCACCAGGGGCTGCTGGGAGGCTGGGCTGGCCCCACTGGGGCCCCGGCGCCGCCGGAGCTCTCCGAGCAGCACCTCCACACCCCCGGCGTTGCCCAGCGCGGGCCGGACCAGGCCTTGGGCACACAGGTTGGCCAGAGTCAGGATGGTGGCCTCACGCACGGCCCGTTTGGGGTGAGAGGCCAGGCTGACCAGAGGGCCCAGCCCACCACCCAGGCTCAGTTGCTCAGCACAGGTCCGGGAGCAGCCTCGGCTCAGCTCCAGGAGGGCACGGACCAGGGCGGAAGTCAGCGTGAGGTCGGGGGTGGTGGCCAGGAGCTCAGCCAGGGGTCGGACCGCTCCCTGCTGGGCCAGGGACAGGCGGTGCTGGGGGCTGTCGGCCAGGTTGCGGAGCGCACGCACCACACTCTGCAGACACTTGGAGTCCTTGCAGGCGGCCAGGCTCTCAAGGAGCAGGGGGACCCCACCTGGAGGGGAGGTGGTTGGCATCAGAGAGGGGGCACAGGCATGTGCCCAGGCCCCTTGCCTACCCAAAGCCAGAGCCCGACCCCACCCCACCCCACCCGCCCAGCCTCCTCACCAGCGGAGTGGATGTCCTGGCAGCTCTCGGGATCCATGGCCAAGTTCCCCAGTGCACGGGCTGTCCGGTTCTGGATGCTGTCTGTCTTCACACACTGAAGAATGGTCACTGTAGGGAGGGGGCGGGGCTTAGTTCCTCTCTCGTCAGTCCTCCCAAGGGGACACCAAGGGCAACTGGCCTAACACAGGCCTCAAAGTCTGCACCCTACTTTGGTGGAGTAGTGACTAGGCTTATGAGTGGCCATCTCGGGACCAACTAATGGTCTCTCCCTGTCCAGAGGACAGACAAGTGACGACCTGCAAAGACGCGGGGAAACAGTCGGTCCTAAGGACGACCGGACCATGGGGACACCCAGTAACCAGGAGACCAGAAGCACTACATGGTGCCCGCTGAGAGATTGCACTAGCGCAGTGGTTCTCCACCTTCCTCACACCCTGACCCTTTCATACAGTTCCTCATGTTGTGGTGACCCCCCAACCATAAAACTATTTTCATTGCTACTTCATCACTGTCATTTTGCTACTGTGATGAATCGGGTGACCCCTGCAAAAGGGTCGTGTGACTCCCAAAGGGGTCTCGACCCACAGGTTGAGAACCGCTGTCCTAGATGGTCCTGGCTAGAAGGGAAGAGAGATGAGAGAGACCAGGCGAACAGACTGGTGGAACCTGAGACCACCCGTGTCACCCTTCTGGCCTGCAACTGAACTCACCCTCATGGCTCCATTTCTAGCCACACAACAGACAGGACCCCAAGGACATACCGTATATACTTGAGTATAAGCCGACCCAAATACCAGCCAAGGCACCTAATTTTACCACAAAAACTGCATTAAAAATGTGCTGAAAACCCGGTTGATACATGAGTACATACGGTAATAACACTGAGGAGGCTTGAACACTTTAGAATCATAGGCCCTTTGGGATCAAGGGGGCAGTATCCACTGGAGGACAAAGTTCAGAAGGCTCAGAAGGAGGACAGAAACCAGGACACGAGGGGAGGAGGTGGGCCAGGTCAGCTTCCACTGGGGGATTGGGGGGGGGGGCGATTATTCAATGTGAAACTGACCACCTGCTCTGTACACCATCACCTGATGCACAAGCTAACGTTCAACAAAAAAAAGGCAAGCCCCAAAGGCTCAGAAGGCTGAAGAGGCAGGCAGCCATCGGCTGGAGAGACGGGACTGTCACTCAGAGCAGGCCAGGCTTTGAAACTTGACGCCGCCATCAGCCTAGCTGGAAGTTCTCAGGCTCCATCACCCTGGACCTGTGGAGCTGGGAGGGTGAAGAGGCTCAGAGGTGAGGCTAGGGGCATCTGCCAAGCTAAGGGTGTGAGGGCTGCACGGTCCACCGCGTTTTAAGGAGGGGAGTGGCCAGACACAACCTTGCCATCGAGTGGAGAGGCTGCTACAGGGAAAAGGATTCAGGGTGGGTGTAAGGAAGGCAGGGAGGGAGGGAGGCGGCTGCCACATTAATTCAGGTGAGAAAGAACAGCAGCCTGAACCAAGCGGGCTGCCTGCACCGCTCAGCATGCTGGCACCAGTCCCTGGGCATATGGTGGAAGCGGGGCAGAGGGCGGTAGAAAAAAAAGGTTGGAGCCACAGATATTTAAAATGCAGAAAAAATAGTAACCGAATGATGTGAGGGTTATATGGGAATAATAAAAATACTTATCATTTATGTTACCATAAAATATTATTGAGGATGAACTCATGCACTAGGACTCTTTTTTTACTTGTATTTAAGATCATTTTACTGGGGGCTCTTACAGCGCCTCTAACAATCCGTACGTACATCAACTGCACCAAGCATATTTGCACCTATGTTGCCATCATTACTTTCTAAACATACACTAGGACTCGTAACATGCTCAGCCGCTGACTACAAAGACAGAAGTCGGAGTCCACCCCGAAGTGCCTCAGATGCAAGGCCTGGCTAACTACTTGGGAGATATCTGCCACGGAAAGCCCGATGGAGGCACAGTTCCCCTGACAGCCCCCCTCCTGAGGTTGCCAGGAGTTGGAACCCACTGTACAATGGCAGGTTTTAATGTGTGTATCCCGCCTCCCCGTAAACAATTTAGGATCTGGGGGCACTGTCTGCAGATTTCAGACGTGCACCTGCTTCCCTTGACGGGCAGCGCTAAGGGTTCATGAAAACGGGCCAGGTGTGTCTTCCGGGCTTGCGAGGCTGCCACCAGGCGGCGCCAATCTGGCTCCCCGGTAGGATTTGTTCTTTTGTGCTCAAGTTTTAAGGACTGGAGGCACCCAGCCCAAGCCTGCGTATTTGTACTTCATTTTGTACCTGCAGTTTTGTTTCATTTTCTCCCTAATCCAATCTGGAGAAGTAACTATTATGCTGTCATTTCCCCAGAAGGGGCTCAGAGGGGCTGGATGGAGTTGGGCAGACAGGGCTTCTGGCCGGTGGCAGAGCTCGCAGAAGCAGCTACAGGCGTTACTTTCACAGGTGTGTTGTGTGAGAAAAACAGAGGACATCTTCTGGCCTCCACATCACCCACCGGGGTCCTCCAAGGTCGACCAGAAAGCTATACGTAGTGGCCATTTAGTATCTATGCTTCCGACCCCCACCCCCACCCCCAACTCAATGCCACCGAGTTGATGCCAATTCATAACGACCCTGTAGGGCAGGGTAGAACTGCCCTGTGTGTCTCCGAGACGGTAACTCTTTACGGGAGGAGAAAGCCCCATCTTTCTCCCGTGGAGCGGGCTGGTGGTTTTGAACCGCTGACCTCGCTGATGGCACCACGACGTCACGAAGGCTCGCTGAGCATCATCAATGGAGGCTGGGAATGACCTGGAAAAGCCAGCCTCGGGTCCTTACTAGGCTAGATGTGTGGGGTTCTTAACAAATACTACCCTCTTCACGTCTGCAATTATTCCGTGGCAGGGAGAGAGTTCAGGGGACACTGGGGGAGGAGGGGGCAACATAGTGCGCGTGATATCGGGGCGCTGCGACGTCACGGAGCACGTTTTCCGGGGCACAGAACAAACTCAGACCCCGCCCAGCCCCAGACAGGGAGGGCGGCGCGAGGGCAATGGGAGCCCAGCACTTACCCAAGGAGAGAATGCCTCCGAGTTTGCGCACTTCGGCCCGGCTCGCCCCTTCCGTACAGCAGTTCGCCAGGATGCTGAGCGCCAAGTCCAGAGTCTTGCGCAGGCGCACTGGCGGCGAGGACGTGGAGGACGAGGCTGCGGAGGCGGGGTCCGAAGGGGGGGCGGGCCCAGGAGAACCCGTTGAGGGGGCGGAGCCAGAGCTTGCCTGGGACGGGGCGGGGCCCGCCGCCGCCGCTCGCCGTAGCAGCGCAAGGAGGGGGCGGAGCCCGCCGCGTGCCCGGAAGCGCTCGATTCCCGCAGCTGCCTTGACGTGGCGCGTGCGGAGCGCTAAGAGCGCACGACCCAGGGGTGTCTCGTTGGTAGCCGTGTCCTTTGTTCCGTCTAGACCCTCCTCGGCCGCCGCCGTGAGCTGCGAGAGGCAGAACGAGAGCGAGTCCGTGGGGGTTGGCTTTGCAGCCGCCATCTTGGCTCGGAGCGAGGCTCCGCCCTCCTCCCCGCCCCCCGCCCCGCCGCCGTCCCAGCGGCGCGGAACTGAGAGAGAGGGGGCGTGGCCGGGCGCCTCCCCTCTGACGCTTCTTAAGGCGCGCCGTCGAGATGGACAAGTAGGAAGTTGTAGTCCCGGGTCCGGGAACTCCGGTTCTTGCACAGTCTTAGAAAACAAGTCGTAGATGTCGAAACGTGCGAGCCCAAGGGGCGCCACGCTTAACACGCCTGGTTTAGGACGGACAGGAAACTCTCTCCTGGAGGCGTCTGAGTCGGCCGCTTTCTCGGGAGAACCCGGACAGCTGACCGTGAAGTCTTCGTGTGGTGCCGCTCGGCGTGACAGCTCCTGCGCCTCTAGCGTGTCCCGGGCAGCGACCGCCTTCCCTCTTTCAGGAGCACTTCGCCCCCGAGCGCTCCCCGGGCCCAGAGGTCCCGGGTGACGGAGCCTGAACACCCCAAGCGAGGCACACAGTGTCAAGTTCCTGACGGCGACCCCGGTTGGGCTGCTCTCCCACACTCGGGTGAACGAGAGGGTTAAAACCACCGAGACCGTTTGCCGCCGCTTCCTAGAGCGGCGCGGGGGGTGTGCGACGTTTCCGTTTCCGGTACTGACCGCTGGGATTTTGAGCTTCCTTTCCTCTGGTGGGTGCTTGCAGAGTGAGTTGCTGGTGCGGCTCCAGGAAACGGGCGCCCTGTTCTCGCGATGGAGACTCCTCCCGAGGAAGAGCCCAGTCGGAATGGGAGAACCAGACATCAGCATGATCCAGGGGAGCCCTGAGGTCTCTCTTCGATTGCAGGGTTCCCCCGAGGGACCTTTCCTGGTGTGCTAAGCAGCGTTCCGTGCCAATGTAGGTCAGGCTCTGGCCCTGGGAGTCAGAAGCCCCTGCCAAGACCTCCTCACCTGCGCGCCTCAAAACTTTTCCGTGCCGGGCGTGCAGACTGACCGTAGCCTGCCTCTTTGATCTTAGCCGTGCACGTGGCGGCCAAGACTCCCGATCTGATTAAGCACCACCGCGTATGCACTGGTGACAAATCATACTCCAGCTCCGAATGTGGCAGCTCCTGCAGCCTTAGCTCCAATTTCATCCCAAAGGTCACTTCCTCTCAAGCCACTGGCCTGACCAGTGCCCAGAATGTGGGGAGGCCCGGCCACATAGCAATGGTGCACAGGGTGTGGCAAGATTCAGTGTCTGATCCAGTCCAAGGGCTCCCATGCTAGGGAGAAGCTGTGGGACTTACGGCCAGAGCTTCCCCGTCAGCGCCAAACTGTTGCACCACCAGCCCTCCCACACTTGTGAAGAACCCTAGCATCCTGCTATGGTTAAAGCTCCTTTCTGCTCAAGTTTGCAGAGCACCAGCCTACCCACTCAATTGAACACCCTATGCCTGTGTGGGGTGCGGCAGAAGCGTCTACCACAGTTCCAAGAGCCTAAAGCACTAGCGCTCACTTAAGGTCAAGAAGTCCTGTAAGTGGACCCGAAGGCGGCAAGAGCTTGGTGGACAGCTCGCATCTGTGCCGCACCGGTAGAGCAAGAGCTTCAGCCAAAACGTTCACCTGTTTGTCCTCTAGGTGGCCCACAGTGGCAAGAAAGCCTGTGTCCGTCTACAGAATGACCTGGCCTTTCTCTGCCAGCTCCAGCAGATGCATCAGGAAGGCAGCCCTGGCAAATATCACTGGCTTCAGCTTCAGCGTAAACCTTCTCTCTGACTTGGGCTTGTCTTTGCCCCTGGAAAGCCTAAGGGTACCAGGAACCTCTAAACCAGTGGTGCTCAACCTTCCTCATGCCGCCACCCTTTCATACAGTTCTTCATGTTGTGGTGACCCGCCCCCAACCATAAAGTTATTTTCGTTGCTATTTCATAACTAATTTTGCTACTGTTATGAATCAGGCGACCCCTGTGAAAGGGTCATTTGACCCCCCAAAGGGATTGTGACCCACAGGTTGAAAACGGTTGCTTTAAGCAAACCTCCTTTCAGCTCCTCCAGGGCGATTGATTTGTAGCTGACAGTGGAATTTGAGGAGGTCCACAGCCTTCCTAGGCCAGATGTGTCAGTCCAGGTAGACTAGAGAAACAAATCCAGAGGCACTCAAATATGTATGAGAGCACTTTATATAAAGAGTAATTGTATATTAAGAAAACATCCCAGCCCAGGACAGATCAAGTCCATAAGTCCGATATTAGCCCATATGCCCGATATCAATCTATAACTTCTTCTTTAGACTCACACAGCCATGCAATAATGCCAAATGCAGGAAGCTCACAGGCCAGTGGGTGGAAAGTCTTGTGGATCCAGTGGCGGTAGAAGCATCTCTGGCCTGGTGTGGGTCTCCACTTGGCTCCTCCAGCTCCAGGGCCCAGTTTTACCAGCTTAGCACCATGTGGCTTGTCAACAGGAATGTCTTGCAAGGAGAGAGAGTGTCCCACCTCCAGCGAGCTATTTATCTCCTTAGCACCTCCAAATGGGGTCATCAAGGTGCGACCTGATTCACAGGCTAAACTTCACCTTGTCACTCTTAATAGTCCCAAATTGGCACCAGATTATGTGACTACCACACTAGAGAAGTTAGAATGCTGGAGCTGTGAGCGCTGCCTTCCAGTGGTCAAAGGAGGACTCTTCTTCCAAAGAGCCCTCCCAGATGAATGGGTTGGTATCTATTCAGTGAGTTCACCAGTGGGAGGCAGAGTTTTCCAATGGCAGGAGCTGCCCAGCCCTACCCACACTACTTTCAGCTTCAAGGCACTCTGAACAGCTGCTGGCTGGGTCCTCTTGACAAGCCTCGGGCTGATGGGGCAATCATACCAGGCAACTGCCTCAGCCAGCAGAGTAGGAGCAGAGGGAAATGCAGCCAGATGGGATGACCGTGATCTCCAGACGATTGTCGTGTAGCAGAAGGACCAGAGAATTTAAACTTGGATCACTGTGCAAGTTCTGGGGGTCTGGTCCTTTTGGAAGACCCCTCCCCTTTATAGGACAAATCAACTCAGGCTGATGGGACCCAGGGCCAAAGCAAAGGACCAGGAAGCCTGTCTCTTGCATTCAAGAGGTGCTTTAGGGCATTTCAGGGCAGGGGCAGGAAGCCCAAGGTTTGTCATCCACTCCTTTGCCTTTCCTTTGCTCCGTGCCTTGCAGATTCCCTGGGCATTTTCTCTGATTCTCTGTCAACAGAGAGAAAAGTTCATGGAGAGTCACCTATGACGGGACACTGGGGATTGTGCTTGGGCTCTTTGCCTGGGCTGAGTGTGTGCGTGTGTGCCCCAAACAATGCATTTTCTGTCATGCAATTCTTGAATAGGAATAAACCATTGAACGATATGATATGTGAATTATATGCCAATAAAACGGTTTTTTAAATGAGTGAATTTCTACTGGAAGGATTGCATCTAGGGTTTGGAGAGAGATTTTTAAAGCACTACATAATCAGTGGTTAGAAGAGTGGGCTCTCCCCTTCCCTCCCACAGCCTCCTGTGTCCTTAGGACAGGCACAGGCCAGGTAGCCTTTTGGAATCTGGTCCCGGCACTGTCTGTTCCCAGGACCCAATTCCTACTCCTGTGGGACACTCCTCCCACCACTAGCTCCTTGCATCTGGCTCCCTACCCTCCAAATTTTGTCACCTCTTACAGGCTCGTAAAAGACTACCCATAAAGAGCAGGAACTGCATCAGGGGTGAGCCAACCAACTTTTTTGATACATACATGTGGCTCTGAAGTAAAATTGAAAATAAAACCATCATCGTGGCATTTATAAACGTTTGAAAGGCGACTGCCCCAATAACGGGGACTTCATTTGCTTGTGAAAATATACTTACGGCTCTCAAATAATTAAAAAAATTGTTGTGAGGGACAAGCTTGGCTCTTCCATCTCCCAAGTTTGCTGACCCCTGAACTGCGGGGAAGGAAGGTGAACTGACGCCGCCCTCAGCTTCTCGCCTCTTTTTGGCTGTGCGACCTTGGGCAGACCTTGGGCAGGTCTCCCTCTTTTCAGAGCTGCAGTTTCTTCATCTGTAACACAGGTTGAAATGTAGGGTCTGGGGAATCATCTTGTTGTTTGTTTGTTTTTAATCGTATTTATTTGTCTCTCTGTCTCAGGGTTTTCTTTCTTTTCAGTTAAATACTTTTATCGGAGGCCCTTACAGCTCGTATCACAATCCATACAGTCATTCGTTGTGTCAAACACATTTGTGCATATGCTGCCATCATCATTTTCAAAACATTTTCTTTCTACTTGAGCCATTGGTATCAGCTCCTCATTTCCCCCCTCCCGCCCTCTCCCACCCTCCCTCCCTAACAAACCCTTGATAAGGTATAGATTATTCTTTTCTTTTTTTCTTTTCTTTTTTCACCACCTTTATTCAATCTGTAAGCTGAGCAAATAACCAGAGAAGCTGGGTTCCTTGAAGAATGTGCCATCAGGACTGCAGGAAGGCTTCACAAACGACAACATGCCGATGACGGACTTCGCAGGCTGAGAAGTGAGGAGGACTTGGAAGTACTTGCGAATGAAGATCAAGGACTGCAGTCTTCAACGTGGATTACAACTCAATGTGAAAACCCAGAATCCTCACATCTGGACTAGCAGGTAACGTCTTGTAGAAAAGAAGTTCTGGTTTTGCAGCAAGCAGATGGTCACAGTGCTGACACCTGAGCTTAACAATTGTGTGAGCAACTTGCTGGGATTGTTCAGCCGGAGGCTGGAGACAGGCTGCAGCAGAGCCCTGAGTGGAGCTGGGGGACAGGGCTGGGGGTCAGTCATCTCCTCCTGTGGGTGGACTCACCACCACTTTGCCCTGGGAGGGGCCTGCTGAAGGAGTTGCTCCTTTTGGCTTGTTGAATACGCTCTGAAGAAGTAACTGTCTTAACTCTGTAAGCAGATAAGCAATTAATAGAACAGAAAAGCTCTGTTTTTCCCAAGTCATTCATAGTCTCAATCATTTCTGCTGAAGGTCTCAATCATTTTCCTAGGGCATATGGAGGAGTTTGGGCTGAATTCAAGA